ATAAAGACAAAAGATAAATAATAAGAAGAAAATGAGAATAAAATGTGTATGCCTAAAACCAAGGAACAATTTCAATCCATACAGGTTGTGATTAGGGATTTCCGGTTTCAATTTGGATCTGTCCTGAAAAAATGGTATATGGATTTCGAGACTTGGTTGATAGCTTCATCTAGACCTGGCATTTTGGATCCGACCAGTTAATATTAGTATTTAGGTGGATGCTTAACTGGTCGGGTCGTTAACAGGTGAATCCGTTAACAACCCGTTAAATAACGGGTCACTTTGGGTCAACCCGTTAGACCCGTTAACACCCGTTAGTTGAGGATGTTTTAGTAATTTCAATAAAGTCTTAACAACAAAATATAAACTCTATGCAAAAAAAATAATAATAATAATTGTTAACGGGTCGGGTTCGGGTGACCAGTTAGGTTAACGGGTTGAGTTTGGATGATCCGTTAACTTAATGGGTCGGGTGAACTCAACCCAAACCCAATAAACCTGACCCGTTTACAGGTCTAGCTTCATCTACATGTCTTCATGGCCACTGTGATCAGTACATGAATGCTGCTGATTAACATAATTGAGAATCCTGCTGCTCTGCTGCTACTAGTTCTACTTGTGCCACTGGGCGATAATCTTGAGAGTTTCGAATTGGCCATTGTTTTCTGCTCCCTGTACTAGTACATATTGTGTCAATTAATGATTTGTATACCAATTAATATTTCACCCGACTTTTTAACTTAAGGGCCGGAGGAGTACTGAAAAAATTATGATGAATCAAGTGATGAAAGATATCAATGTAAAATTCTACTCTTTACATAATGATCTTCACGAATCAAGTGATGATAATATACCTCTTTTAGTCACCAACTAGAAATCTTAATTACCACCTTGTCACTCTGCAACTTAACTCAGTTCCTAAAATAAAAAACAGTTAGTACTTAAATTACAACCATCAATGAAACCAAAATGGAGAGTTTTGTTTATCATTAATTACATATAGTAATCGGTCATGCTAATATGTGAAGTAAATGGAGCACACACCTGTAAGTTTTAGTTGATGTTTCAGCTGTCCGATCAGTCACTCTGAGTGAAGATAATGGTCTTGAAAGGAACTCGATTGGTCAGCTTCATCGCAACTGCATGAATCTACTGGCCATATATTCGGAACAACATTGACCCTGTAGCATTAATCCAGCAACAAAAAGAAGGATTATTTGTGAACAACTCTATACTTTACAACTGAGTTTTTCTTTGCCAAATTCGGAGGAATAAAAAGTTAAAAGGACTATACGTACCCATTAACACATATGTGCTTGCAATGGTTCATCTTATCGACTGTATAGCTCTAAAAATGGTGTCAAGGGACTTTGCAAGTGTAGGAATGTCAGAAAGTGGAAGGATTTCCCAAATCTTCATAACCTGGATAAAAACTGAATTCTGCTGCATAACGTCTACACTCCAAATGAGATACAGCAGACCGTTGACTTCATACTTATATAACAGTTGAGCAGAAGTCAAAAGTTGCAGCATTACCTTCCATTTTGCATTTTTGAACAACAAAGAATCTGGATCAAGTGGAATATGTAATTGGTCAAGTTCCAGCAGGGCTTCTGCAATAGCCTGAGCCAACTTCTTTTCCTCATCGGCATTAACAAAACATTCTTGTTTCTTCGCGTCAAGAATTAGCTTCTTCCAAATTGAGTTACTGTTAATCAAGGTCGATCCATGCCCCGGTATCCAAAGACAATACCTACGGACACAAGAACGAGTAATTAACTTTTAAACCACCGATTACTCAGACATACTACAACTGAGCTGCACTTCGTCAAAGAAGTACATTGGCTCGTTGCCGATTGGAGAGGAATCCCACAGAGCCCTTTCTATTACATCTGACAGTGGATATAATTATCACATCCTCTTCACCTTGGAATCCATCAACAGATCACACACTTATGGAGAAGTCTGAGCCAGCTGAAACATCACTGTATTCTTTGACTCTATCTTGAATTGCATTAACTTGAGCCTTGTAAGGTGATATCACCCCAACACTAACCATCTTTTTGGTTCGAGTGAATTCTGTCGTGAACAAGAAAAAATTAAGACAACTAAAGAGTAGTATACCACAAGAATGTTTCAAGCAGCATATATATATTACAAGAAAAATTAAGAACATAATCAACTAGCTTACAACAATAATAACCTTTGTAAAGGCTAGAAACTATTTCATGAACCACAGTAACCTCAACCATGTTTTCTGACTATGCCCACGAACAAATTCTTCTTTCCCATTTGCTATAATTATAAATGAGTAGGATCCTTAAATTTTTTCATCAAGGAAGCACTTCTTGTAGCTCATTTCATTGAGATTTGGACCATCTAATATCTGATTGTCGTAAAATTCCCTTTTCAGAAACAAGCTGATTGAAGGATGCATCGTATACTGGACATTGAGCAGGTGCTTCTCGTGTCCTAACAGTACAAGTCTGTGGAACAAACTTCTTCCAAATTCAGCCTTCTCAGAGATCTAATAGTTCATTGATCAAATATACTCAGTTGCTAGGATAAAATATGTATATGCTTCTAATTAATAATCTGAAAAACCAAAAGAGCATGTAAGAAGGATAAAACTCAAACCTTGCTTTCAACCAATGCAGGGAGTTGCCTCTCACCTCCTATGAGAATAGCATGGCGAAGACCTGGTAGTTGTAACAGAATTGCTGATTCGCATTCTTTAAGCTGAGCAGCTTCATCCATGACTAACAATTCCAGGGGCACCATTCCTTCTGTATACAGTTTGGCAGAACTTGATGCGGTACAAGTTGATTTTAAACCCTCTATTTAATTAATACTAGTGAAACCCTAAACCCGCCCTATATAAATATCCATATATAACTAGTCAGTCAAAGTGAAAACTGAAAACAAACCTGGTGTTTGTAAAGATCTCTACTGAGAACATCCCAAAGAGACCAAAAGAAGACCAAATCGATCAAGCTTCTACCGGCAACTCCTTCCTTCTTCACTGTAGTCTCCCCATCACGTACTTAAGAGTTCTTCTGGTATATATGATTGTTCTCGCACTGGCAACGATTACTATCTGCAAATACAGGGTGCATATGCATGCAGAATTGCAGATGCAGTACTCTCTAGCTACTACTATCTGCAAATTTATAAAAAGTTTGAGCTCTTGGGTTTCCCATTCCAATTTAAAGGGAGGCAGAGAGACTTTTTTGTAGGAAGAAAACGAAAGGCCACCACCTTATATAATTAAGAGTATTCATGATTCGCATTGCTAACACCAATAGTCACTCAGTCTAGAGACGTTGCAAGCTCTTAATTTCAGACAACCCAACCAATGCATTGCTGTAATAACCCTTCTTATTTGGGACGTCTTTTATGAATCCATATTCAGTCCGAGTGGTATGCAACATTAGGTAAATTTACCCATAAAAAATGAGAACAACAATATGAATCTGCGCTTTTATGATTTGAGAATGCGTTTTGTAGTTTTATTTGAGATTTATTTTTGAGACTTAAAACGTTGAAATTCGTCTGGTACTAATATCTAAATGTCAAAATAAAAATTCATGTTTGGTGGTGGTGGTGGTGGTGGTGGTGGTGGTGGTGGTGGTGGTGGTGGTGGTGGTGGTGACAAGAGTGGTGTTGTTAGCAATGGTGGTAGTAGTGGTGACAATAAAAGTTGTTGGAACCAAATTTGCGCACCATTGTGTGTAGATGAGATGCACAAACTCGACAACTTGTAAAAGAGTAAACACACGTAAGACAACCTTGGCACGGATGGGGTACCGGCCAAAGGCTGTCCGACGGTCAAGTTAGTAAGCAATATATAAGACTTCAGTGGGCAAGAGAATAGAGTATGCGATCACTAGAGATGAACCCTATCTTTTAAGATATGGAATCTGTATTAAACTGAGAGAATCCAAGAGGATATCTAGGAATAGATATTGCATCCTCTTAGGAGTGTGATTACTTGCGGCGCACATCATTTCCTATAGGAATCTCCAAAAATATAGGAAACTAATTTGATTCCCAATCGGATCAAGTTTCTATGTCTTGAGGAACAAGAAAGGTCAATCTCAGCGAAGTCAACGAACTTCGCCTACCTTTCCGGAACACTGGATGATGGTGGCATCACTGGTCCATTTGTGCAGCTCAATCTGATCGAAGTTGTTGAGTCTATGACTAGACTTTTGAGGTATACATATTATGATTCGTCTTACTCCAGCTCTAGAAAATCATGGTCCACAAAGGTGTTGGTAGTGTTGAGATATAAATGGTGACAATAGCAGGGTAAGAGAGTAACGGTGGCGAGAGCGATGGTGGCGAAGGATGTAGTGGTGAAGTCAGTGGTGGGAGGTGGGGGTGTCAAAGATGGTGGCGGTGGTGGTGATAATGGTGAGATGGTGGAGAGATCTTTTGGACTGAATGATCACTCATCTCCTCTTTCTTTTGTATTTTTTTTTCCTTTTTTTTCTTTTTTTTCCCCTCCTCTGTCCTTTGTTTTTTTTTTCTTTTCCTTCTTTCCTCTCCTACCTTTCTTTGTTACCTACTCCGCTGTTGGTGCGTGTTAGATTTCAGGGGAATGGATCTTTAGATCCGGGAATTCATGTGAGCACAACTATGTTCTCATCATCAGCAATTGTTTATGGTTGGCCGAAGGTGGTCCCATGTATAGAAGATTTCCCACTTGTTGTGACCAACCCTTATGGACGAACTAAGGTATAGTATGGCCATAATTAGGTGCATCTAGTTCAATGTATTAAAAGCGTGAGGCGTGGGCGAGGCATCCGAGGTGAAGCCAGGCCTAGGCATGAGGTGTGAGGCGAAGCCTCACGGGATTTAATTTTTATTATATATATATGTTTTATATATTATACATATGATTGTATAAAAATAATAGTATGTAAAATAAACATCCATTCTCAATTTTTCATTCAAATCCATAATCATTCAAAAGATAATATCATCCAAATTCACCATTCAAAGGTAATATCATCCAAATTTATCATTCAAAAGGTAATACAAACAAAGAAAACAATCATTCATCCAAATCCTCTTCATAGAAATCAAAATACAAACAAAGATATCAATCAATCATCCAAATCCTCTTCATCTAAATAAAAGGCATCATCCTCTTCATTGCCAACTCTAGATGACCTTGTAGGGTATGTCATCAATTCATCAAAAGATTCTTTTGAATCATACTTCACATTTCTTTGACTTGAGGATTCTTCATTACCTCGTTTTCTTTTGTATGTAATAAGACCCCGAGGTTGAGTAGGCTCTCAAGGAGGAGTAGGCTCACGAGGAGGAGGAGAAGAAAACTCTCTAGGCTCTTGAATGTATGGGCCACCTTCATAAACCAGGGGTGGCACATTCTTTACGGCCTTAACATTATACAATAACTCATCCTCAAGCCATGTAGGATCTTCGGGAAGAACGGGATCTTTTATCTCCGTTATCCACTCATCATCAGAGGCAATTTCTTCCACAACAATAGGATCATACTTCTCCCTCATTTTCTTACTTCTCTGTTGTAAAGCCAAACTATACTTGACATAGGCTAAAGCATTAAGCCTTTTGTGTTCAAGTCTATTCCTTCTTTTTGTATGAATCTACAAATAAATCAATTCTATTACTCAAGTCTAATCTTTTTAAGCAAAATGACACTTAAGATACTAATAATATATTTACTTACCATTGAAAATGTGCTCCAATTCCTCTCATATCCCGACGCACTACAAGTAAGGCTTAGAACTCAGACATCAAACTTCCTTAACTCGGGTGTTTTATGCCCAAAGCGCTCCCACCAAGCCGCTAAAAAAACAATATTAGTAAGGTAAGTAACTTAAGGGTTAATGATAAAAAATATTAACAATTGACTAATTAAATCTTACTTGGTGTTCGCTTTTTCCTAGTTTGCATAGCCATAGAATCCACAAATGGACCACGCTTATCATTATATAAATCCAATTGACAATCGGCCTTTTCACGTTCTTTCCCTTTCCCAAGCATCCTATCCATGCAAGCAAACAACCCATTTACCACTTCATCAATAGCTAAGAAATCATCCTCATATCGAAATTGTGGGTTTAAGTAATAGCCCGCCGCATGTAATGGTTGATGAAGTTGATCGTCCCATCTACGATCTATCTTTCTCCAAATAGGCATATATTTTTTCTCCACTTTGTTAAGATTGCTCGCAATTTTCTCTTTTGCGGCATCCATCAACTCATATATAAAACCCATGAGAGGTCTTTCCTCCGAATCAACCTCTCTCAAAACACAAACAAGAGGAAGAACACCCTTAATGCAAAAGGAAACTCGACCCCAAAACTCACGATCATGTAACACATGATGCTTTGCCAACTTTGCTTCATGGGATTTTGCATAGGTACTTTCCGACCATTCTTGAGAGGCAAACAAAGCAACAAGATTTTCCTTTTGCTTTTGTAAGCTTTGTAGTGTAAGGAAATAAGTGGCAAACCTTGTAGATACTTTCCGAATTGTTGGTGTATTTTCTCATCAAAGCTAGTACCCATTGATGCCCATATAGATACTTTGAAATACACCTAACACGTTTGAGAGTGTCATCAAACCATATCATCTTAAAAATATATTCTAGCATCAAATCAATGCAATGAGCCGCACATGAAGTCCACCACACCTTCTCTTTCCTCTCCATAAGTTTTGCCCCGGCATTCTTGTAGTTCAAAGCATTGTCGGATATAACTTGAACCACATTCTCCTCCCCAACTTCTTGAATAACATCATCCAAATAGCCATACAACAAATCTCCATTCTTAATGAGGCCGATGCATCAATCGATTTCAAGAACCAAGTACCTTACGGGTTATTGACAAGAAAGTTGATTAAACACCTACTTTTGCCATCCGACAATCCATCTGACATAATAGTGCATTCATATCTCTTCCAAGCCTTTTGATGTTCTTTCATCATAGTTTTTACATCCTCAACTTCTTCTTTGAGCATCCAAGTTCTATATTCATGGCTTGTAGGAGCATTAAAGTCGGGACCAAAATTGGATACCAATTTCATTGCATTAACATAATGTTCATTGTTTGCCGCATTGAATGGAATGACACTAGTGTAGAACCATCACACAAGTGCCCGGGATGCTTGTCTTCTTTCCTCTTTTTTGAAAGGTGTATTCAATGTGGCTTGACGAGCTTCCGATGTAACATACCTATCAAGTGGTCTCCTTGACCTAGGTGGTAGAAAAGAACCAGTTTGTTGTGAATATGTCGCACTCACACTCCCACTCCCACTCCCACTACTTACATATGGTGTCCTTGTTGTGCCCATATCGACACTTTCACTTTCTTCTCCACCACCACGACACAACTCATGGCTAGTTTTCCTCTTTTCTTTAGTTCCCATAACATTAGCAAACCATTCTTCCTTCACATTGGGTGGGACTTTTTTACAATTTATCATTCCTCCCGAACTTACACCACCCAAGTAATGTTTGAATCTAAAAATTGAATCTGTGCATTTGTGGTTACAAAAAACACAATAGAAGTGCTTGGTGACAGGATCCAAATCTTTTGTCCATTGCCAAGCAAAATCCTTCTTAGAAGAAAAAGCCATATTCTTCAATGCCCTAAACAATAAACATTTGATGCATGCATACAATTAATGAACCAACAATACCAACAAAGTATTCAATTAATTAACATTATCGTGACAAACCCCAACCTAAAAGTACTCAATTACTTTTCTGTATATTTATTAAGCTCCCTATTTATTAACCCCTTATGTCTATTTATTAACCCCTTCTGTTTTCTATCTAATGCCTACCAGTACCAACTAATACCTGTAACCTATCTAATGCCCCTCTATTTATTAACCCACTAGTGCATTGCACGTGTAGTGCGGCTGGTGCCTTATAGTTGAATAGATAAACCTGTTCAACTTCATATTCATTTTCTGAACCTATCCTAACCTGAAAACCTTCCCCAGAAAACTAAATCCCTAACTTTTTCAAATTTTCAAAAACCCTAACCTTTGGGATCTTGCTAACGGCGCAAGGGTGACGGTGCTGGGGTGACGACGGCGTAGTGACCGGTGTTGCTCTAAGAGGCAGCGTGGCGACCTGTTCTGGGCTTCTGGCACATGGGAGAATAAGCAAGTATGGCTCACGAGAGAAGAAGCAAAAATGCGAAGAAGGCGCAGACAAATGCGATTGAAGGTATGGTATAAAGAGGATGTTTAAAACTGAAAATCCTTACCCAAACAGCGTCGTTTTGGGTTTGGATGGTTTTTTTTTTTTTTTTTTTTAAAGGAACAGACAAGGCGCCTGGACGCCTTGAGGCAAGCCTCCGCCGCCTCGACGTCTCCAGCGAAGCATTTCGCCTACTCTAGCAAAACAGAGGCGTTTGCCTCACCGCCCAGCCTCAAGGGCAGCCTAGGCGCACCCGAGGCGAGTTCTTTAAAACATTAATCTAGTTCGAAATGTCTGGTTATCTTCGAAGTAAGAGTATCACTATGCATCTTCTTGGTTCATATGATGTAACTTCTATTCATCCCATATATATTTGTCAACTTAGCATCTTTTTCCTCTTATCGTCTATGAGGGCTGGGTGATGAAGCATTTTAAGGGCATTTTTGGGTAGGAAAGTATGATTTTGGATGGAGGCTTTCACCTAGAGTGGGATTACCACATCCATCTCAGTAATCAATTCCTTCGCATTTTGGTATTGAATTCGTAATTTTAAGTGGACCCCACAATGCATTCATTCCCCAAAATGGCAAGTAAACACTGGAATCCTTTCTATTGGGGAATGATTCCCTTTCATTTCATCCCATGAGAAATTTTTCAGTGTGACCGGTACATGAGATGGTACACCACGTGCCACTATACAAATGATGAGATATGTGTGTTAAAAAGTTAATAACCTAAAAATTAAAATTTTCCATCACTTGTATAAACACACGTGGTGTAAACCCATGTTCCGGTCAATATGAAAAATTTCTCTCATCTCACCTCGGGTAAACACGCCACTAATGGTACTTGTATCAGTTAAAAAGAGCATCATTTGTCTTCCTTTCTTGCACTTTCCGCATTTATGCGAGGCTGCAGGACAGGAGTGCAAATAACGTTACAGCAAACTTATCAACTCCAGCATAAGAATAACATTAGATTCTGAATACAGAGACAAGCAAGACCTTTAATAGCAAATCGAAAGCACAACCCTGACATCCCAGAATAATATGTATTAGAAACGGTGCTCAAATCCATGTTTAGGTACTCAAATGCCAACGAGTCAACATCACTTAATACAAACCATATTTAGGTACTCAAACGCCAACAAGTCAACATCACTCCATCCAATAAGAGTAATCAGTCATAGGCAACATTAATATCAAGGAACAATTGTGTTTCAAAAGATACTTGGATTCACTCAAATATCAATAACTTACTAAAATGTCAATAACTTTCACTTTTGGTGCTCATCCAGTTCTCATGATGATATGGACTCCACTATCCGTATCCACAATGTCGCTCATCTCACCAACCTTGAGCGCAAATGTTGCTTCTTCAAAAGGTTTCTGCATCTGGTTCCGGCCAAAGGGACCTGCAACAACAATTTAACATACAATTCAACAATAATCCATACCATATAATTAGTAACGAATCTTATTTAGGATGAGGCATTACTGTCAAGTTATATTCATTTACCAAAACTTATCAAAACAAGGTGTATTTGAGGAATCAAAGTCAAACTTCTCATGTGAACATAGACTTTTAGGAATTACTCCCCCCTCCATTCCGAGCAAGTTAGAAAATTAGCAAATTAGGTGAGAAAGGAAATATCACTAGTACAAACCCACATTGATTAGTTACAAACAACAACAACAAAGTCTTATATGACTAAGTTGGGTCGGTTGTATGAATCCTAGAACATCACTACATTTGGTTTTGCACCAAGTCTTCCGTTAGCTTCAATTACTCCATGTTTTTTCTTAAAAGTCTCTTTCCAAGTCTTCCTACCCCTTTTACCCTTAGCCTCTGCCTCATAATCACATCTTCCTCTACCCACATGGATACGTTAATTCAAAAAAAAAAAAAAAAGAAATTTCCCTTTTAATCCATTTCTAATTAAGTGAATGACATGCAAGAGGTGAATGACATTTATTTGCTGAAGTTGAAGTTTAACCAATAAAAATGAATTAAAAAAAACATATACTAAAATGGTAAAATGTTGGGTAACTCTAACAGCTTGCACAAATCTTTTGGGAGAAGGACCTTTTGGGAGGAGAAAAAAGTCAAGGGTGTCATGGAACCGGGAGGTGATGGGTTTTTTTGGGTGTTCAGGTTGGAAGGAATAATAGGACTTATGATGATTTTAAAGTAGAGACATGGAAGTTTTATGGGGTGGCAAAAGCTTTTGGACGGTTACTTTAGGCATTGCTTCTTCATAGTTACAGGTCAATTTAAGCTATATTGCAGTTTGGAAAGTTGTTCGGACCTAGATTAGTTGTCGGATAGCTAAAGCTTTTTTATTGCAACTATTTGCGGCCAATCAAATTATGCTTCTTGCCAAATATGAAAATCAAGTAAACAAAAGCAGCTCATATTTCAGATATTTGTTATACAGAAGCAGTTTTGTGCACAATTTTTCTGTTTTGGATTTTCAACATGTTGTTTCCCTTATTTAGTTCTTTGGTTAAGTATCTAATGTCAAAACACAAATGTAAACCTAAACCCTAATTATGAACTTTGTGAAGTGCTAACCGAGATCGCCACCACGTTTGGCAGAACTGCAATCAGAGTAGCGTGAGGCGAGATCGTCAAACTTGGCCTTTCCAGAAAGAATTTCATCACGGAGGGCCTTGAGTTGAGAGACGGCAGAGTCTTGGGTGGTGTTCCTGATGATCTGACCTTCAGGATCCTTCCATGACGCCTTTCTTCTCGAACCCTGATGCTTGATGAGTATATGGGACGCCCTCACCTGATTCCCCGCTGAAGAGGACATTTTTGTCCTTTTGGTCTTGCTAGTAGCCTGCCTTTTTTCTTTGTCCTTGTTCGTGTGACCTGATGCACAGATCAAAGGAGCTGCTTTCTTATGCTAATGATTGAATGAATCTATCTTTGCAGCTCAAACGCAAAGTTTTGATAATGTTTGCTTGTCTGTAATCTGCACAAAGACATTTTACCAAGATTTATTAGCATTGTTGATGCACAAAACCGGAGGGGTATTGGACCAACGTAAATCCGACGTGAATCTGCAAGAAAATAAAGAACACAAGATGTATCGTGGTTCACCCAATACAAGATGTATTGTGGTTCACCCCAATGTTTGTGCTACGTCCACACTGATGTTGATATTGTTTCACTCTAAATGGTGAATATACAAGAAGGCTAGAGGCAGTGTGCTCTCTAGTCTATTTTCTGTGTTTGCCCTCTGAGATGTTTTCTCTCTTCCCATGGCCTAAACCTTGACCTCCCCTAATGAGGAGAGTGAGGAGTACTTTTATAGAATAAGGGCTCCTCACTTATTACATATTTGCCCCTTCATTTATTACATAATTACATTTGAGTCTTCCGAATATTTATACGAGGTCTAAATACAGAGACCATTTGGTACAAACAAGCATCTTCCAACCCTTCCAAGTAAATTTCATTTTCTCATTTATATGAAACTACATTGAAAGAAGAGCTCGAATAACATTTGACTTAACAATATTTTCTCATCCATACTACTAAGGGGTTTAACAATATGCAATTTTCCCGCAGCTATTCAAATCGGTAGACAATAGTTATTGATACCAGAGCTCAAATAACTTTCGATTCTCTGTAGTGCGCAAAGGCATTTCACCCATAAAATTCCAAATCGATAAATAACAAGAAATCGAAAAAAAGCAATGCTTGAATTCATCCTTATCCTTCCCTTTAAAAACTACATTACCTCATGGACATGAACCCTATTCAAAATTCAAATACGAGTTTCATTGTTGCTTGCTATCATACTAGCAGTAACAAATACAATTCCAAACAAAACCCCAAATAAAAACGGGTAATTTTACGATATTTCCATGCATAGTTTAAAGCTATTAGTCTATAAACCCAGCAACCAATCACACCATAAACGGTCACAGTTAGAGATTTTAGCGGTCAAATAAACTAGAAAAAAAAAAAGAAAATCAGGAAAACCGAAGCTTACCGACAGACCTGTAACGAAGCAATCCAACGGCGGCTGTACAGTGAAAGATCTGAGTGCGGAGGATCGGGCTGTGAGGAAGGGGATGTCCAATTGAAACTTTCAATGGCGGATGAAGAAGCTGAGATAAGATGAGAAGAGAGAGACTGAGAGAGGGCGGTGACGGAAGAAGGGGGAGAGAATGGGTGGGTGGGTGTGCGCGAGAGCGACTGTGCGAGGGCAACTCAATAAATTTGATTTTCCGCTTTAATTTTTTTCAATTAGAAAGAAAATTATATTTTTGAGATCATCCTTATAAAGATGTCAAATTTTAAACAAAAAATTTAAATTTAAAAGCTTATGTGGCACTTTGATTTTTTTTTAAATTTTGTTCTCCACCCCCTCTATTCTCCTCATCTTCATCTTCTTTCCTCTTTTTCCCCTATCTACCGCAACCCAGAAAAAAAAAAAAAAAAAAAAAAAAAAAACCAATTGTCTTCCCCTGTGCCCACCCTCTTCCTTCCTCTACACACCACACTCCTTAAATCTACACATATTCCCTCCATTTTCTCCGCGCTCAGGTTCTCCACCCGCGAAATCGGCCTGGCAAACGGGATCAGGGTTTTTTTTCTTTTTTTTTTATGGGTTGCAGGTAGTGGATGCTGAGGGTGGGTGCGGAGGGTTTAGGGAAGACAGGAGGGGGAAGAAAGGGATGAGTTGCAGGGAAGGGGGGTTCGGGGAAGATGAAGATAGGTTTTGTGGTTTTTTTTTCTTTCTTTTTTCTGGATTGCAGCAGATAGGGGGAAGAAGATGAAAGAAGATGAAGATGGGGGAGAAGAGAGAGGGCGTGGGGGGGGGGGGAGGGACAATTTTTTTTTTTTCTGGGTTGCAGCAGGTAGGAAGAAGATGAAGGGAGATGAAGATGGGGGAGAAGAGAGAGGGCGCACAGGGGGATGTTTTGTTTGGTTTTTTTGTTATTTATTTTTTTTTTTTAAACTTTTCTTTATTATTTTAAAAAATATTAAATGATTTTTTTAAGGTAAATTACATAGTAGCCCCTCAGGTTTGAGGTCTATTACAACCTCATACAACGTCTTTAAAACATTTCACTTTCATACATCATGTACCATTTTATTTCAAAATAATAGCTCAGTTAGATTTTCTGTCCATTAATTTGTTAAATGTTGACGTGGCTGTCAAGTGGTAAAAAAAAAAAATTTATACATTAAAAATATTATAATATAAACCCAATTTAAAAAAAACAAAAAAACCTGAACCCAGATCCCCTTTCTTCCCCCTCTCCTCTCTGCAACTCTCATTTACAAAATCCCTTCCCACTATCCCTCACCCACCCCCCCCCCAGCGACCTCACCCCCCCCCCCAAGCGACCCACATGCCTACAGCAACAAAAAGAAGAAGAAGAAGAGGGAGGAAGAAGAAAAAAAAAGAAAACCCCAAACCCAGTTCGTCCCCCACCCGCAAAAAACAAAAAGAAGAAGAAGAAGAAGCCCAGAACTCTCCCCCCCCCCCCCGGGGACCTTCCCGTAGCTGGGGCTTTTTTTTTCTTTTTTTTTTCTCCCTCTTCTTCTTCTTCTTGTTGCAGGTTTTGGGGGGAACGAATTGGATCTTTTTTTTTCCCTCACTTCTTGCAAGTTTTTGGGTTCTAGGTTAGGGATAGGGATGTGGGTCGCTTGCGGGGAGGTCGCTGAGGGGTGGGGTGAGGGATAGTGGGAAGGGATTTTGTAAATGGGACTTGCAGAGAGGAGAGGGGGAAGAAAGAAGATCTGGGTTCGGGTTTTTATGTTTGTTTTTTTTTAATTGGGTTAATATTATAATATTTTTAATGTATAAAAAATTAATATTTTTAGTGGCAGCCACGTCAGCATTTAACAAATTAATGGACGGAAAATCTAACGGATGTATTATTTTGAAATAAAATGGTACATGATGTATGAAAGTGAAATGTTTTAAAGACGTTGTAATAGATCTCAAACATAAGGGGCTACTATGTAATTTACCCTTTTCTTTAGTTTTTAATAATATTTTATTAATTTTTTAATAGAAAGTGGGTCTCGAATCAAGTCACGTTAGCATTTAACTGAGAAATTAACAGAAAAACTGACGGAGGTATGACATTGGCATAAATTCGTAAAATGAGGTATGACATTGTCATTTTAAAAAGATGAGGTATGAAAGTGTCATGAGACCAATAGTTAAGGTAGTTTTTTGTACTTTACCCAAAATATTTTCATCAAAATGTTTTCAGTTATTTTAAAAGAACTTATGATGCGATGCGGTTCGCGTCATTTCGGGCCAGATGTTGACCCGCTCATTTCTTTATCTAAATATTTTTCGGGCCCGTCATTTCGAGTGCGCATCGTCGAAGCTGCTATCCGGGAATGGCATCTCAAGAAAGTTCTCGCATCTGACGTCGAGAATTTGGTCTCCGGGTTTGACATCGATGAGATCAGGGATGCCAAAGATGCACTGATGGACTGGAGCTGCTGCTTGTGTCGTTCATCCTCAGAGATGGTGACGGCAAAGGCAACACCCTGAGTGCCCTTGATAGGGGTGGTGGGTACCGACTTCTTCTTCTGCAGCGAGTGGAGCTCGTCGATCGTCTGAGCCTTCACAGGGGGTGTGCTGTCGTCGGGATACACCTTATTTCCCTTCTTCTGCGTCTGGATCTTCGACAGCCCTTTGTCTTGGAGGAGAAAGAGAGAGATTTACATTTGGATTTCTTTTTTGATTTCTTTTGATTTCTTTTTTTTTATTTTGGTTTCTGTGTAGGACTGACCGAGAGTGGAGAAAGATAGAGATTTGGTTTTTTGGATTTTTGTGATTTAGCAGATCCACAGTGGTATGAAAAATTGAGGGAGAACCGACATAGCTTTTCGTGTCGATTCCCACAGACGGCGCCAAATGTTGATGCACAAAACCGGATGGTCTTGGTACAACGTAAATCCGACCGTGAATCTGCAAGTAATGTAAAGAACACAAGAATTTTATCGTGGTTCACCCCAATGTTTGGGCTACGTCCACACTGTAGTTGATTCTGTTTCTCTGTAAGTGTATGGATACAAGTGTTTGGGGGAAGTCCCCCAGAGAAAGAAAAGAAGGGAGAGGAGAGCCTCGGTGGTGTGAGGTCTCTCCTGAATGTAATGAGAGCTTCTCTTAGCCTTCTTAGGCTTGGCTCTTTTGCCCCTCCTTTAGAATGAGGGTAGGAGTCCCCTTTTATAGAATAAGGGGCTCCTCCTCTTTTACAAAGTATGGGCTTTAGTGTGAGGCCTAAATACAAGGCCCAAGGCCCAAATATACGAGGCCCTAAATATGGTATAAACAGTAGTCCCCCAAGTCTTCAGTCAAGAGAGTCTTTTGGCTGGAGACTTGAAATTCAGTCCATGTGTGGGCCGAAGTAACTAAATGTCGTCTAGAACTGATGCTCGATATGAGGCGGTGCCCAATCTGAAATGATGCTCAACTAGAAGTAGCACATGTTGTGAGGCCGCTTTGCTTGTAGCTTATGTTGCCTTGGTTGGCTTGGCTTGTGGCGTTTGAAGGTGAGGGAGTCCCTTTTATAAAATAAGGGCTCGCTCCTCAATACATAAATGATGGGCTAGAGTTGATGCTCACGGCGAGGCGGTTGCTCAGCAGGCGGCGATGCTCTCTAATGATGGTGAGGGAGTCTTTTTTATAAACTAAGGGCTCGCTCCTCGATACATAAATTTAGGAGTGATGCTCGTGGCGAGGTGGTTGCTCAGCTGGCGGCGATACTCTCTAATGGTGGTGAGGGAGTCCCATTTATAAAATAAGGGCTCGCTCCTCAATACATAAGTGATGGGCTAAGTCCCCCAAGTATTTTTCATGAGGCCCAGTTGAGGCCCAATATATGGTACATAATGTAGTCCCCCAAGTCTTCGGTCAATAGAGTCTGTTGGCTGGAGACTTCAAATTGAATCCATGTATGGGCCGAAGTGGCGGTTGTTCGAGGGCAGTATTTGTATATCTTGCACTGAAGCTTTGTAGTTGAAGTTTTGCAAGTGAAGCTTTGGAACTATAGCTCTGTAAATGAAGCTTTCGAAACTGGAGCTTTTGTAAATGAAGCTGTTGAAGCTAGAGCTCTGTAAATGAAGTTTTTGAAGCTGATTGACATGAGTGATGCTCATGAATGTTTATGTTGATTGACATGAGTGATGCTCATGGATGTTGTCATGAGTGATGCTCATGAATGTTGACATGAATGATGATCATGAATGTTTATGTATGATTATCATGAGTGATGCTCATGAATGTTTATGTATGAATGACATGAGTAATGCTCATGTATAATTTGGAGTAGTAGGCGTACTTTTAGTCACCTGGTTGGTGCTAATTCAAGCTTATGGGTCTTCGCCTTCCACAACATGTCAGCCCATTTGTTTTGGGCTTTTCCTTTTTTTTTTTTTTTTTTTTTTTTTTTTTTTTTTACCCTCTGATGGGTTTATACATATTACCCACTGATGGGGTTTATACATATGTCTCCGAAAGATAATAAATTACATCATTCTGGTAGAATGTTTATTCCTTACTTTTGTTTTTCTCTTTCTTTTCTACTTTTGTAATTATCTCAGTGGGTAGCCATATTTTCTGCTTTGCTCTTTTACTTTGCTTTGCTTTTGCTTTCCACAACATGTCAGCCCATTTGTTTTGGGCTTTTTTTTTTTTTTTTTTTTTACCCTCTGATGGGGTTTATACATATTACCTAGGGGTGGGTTCAAAAAACCGAAAACCGAAAAAAACCGAACCGAAACCCGAACCGAGACCGAAAAAAACCGAACCGAAAAAAAAACCGAACCGAAAGTGTAAAACCGGACCGAACCGAATGTGGTTCAGTTCGGTTCAGTTTCTGGGGTTCGGAAACCGGACCGAACCGGACCGAACCGATTAATGGAAAAACGACGTCGTTTTCAGCTTCAGTTCACTCTCTTCACTTCAGTCTGAAAGACTGAAACCCTAAACATATCCATTCCCTTCCCTTTTCCTTATCGACGCCTCCCTCTCCTCTGTACTCTCACTGTGGACCATCTCCTCCCAGCTCCGCCGCTCTTCCGCTTCGTCTTCTTCCTTCCCAGTGACCTGCAACCTGTCTCACACATCTCTCGCCGACGCGACGCCGTCTCACACTCGGTATCTCACCCCCCCTGACCCGTGACTTGTGACCGCCGCGCACGACCCACGGCTTCCTCTCGCCGTTTTGAGTCTCGACCAACAAATTCCCTCCTTTGCAAGGTTAGTTTGTGATAAATTTTGGATTAATTTGTGATAAATTTTGGTTCTGCACTGTGATGCTTGCTTGTTCTGCACTCTCGCCATGTCTGCACTGTGATGCTTGCTTGTTCTACACTCTCGCTGTGGTCTAACACTCTCGCCGTGTCTGCTAACTGCTATGTGATGCTTGCTTGTTCTGCACTGAAATTAGGGTTGTTAGGTTCTGTTAGGTTCTCTCGATGTAGGAACTTGTGGGTTGTTAGTTTCCGGAACAATATCCTTGCCAGCATCTACAATTATCTGTTCTGTCATTATACAAATCTGGGTACGTCATTGGAAAAAGTAACCACAGGAAACCCCGGGTTAAATTTCAAACATTTTTATTGCAGTCAAGGATCGATACCCTTGAGCCTGTGATGGGAAGCAAAAATGAGAAAAAGCTGACCTACCTACCTAGAACTACAACGTCATCAAGCGAAAAAGAGAGAGGGAATGGAACCTGCTTTCAAAACTCTAAAAATTTCCTTCATGGCCTTGTGTTTGTCTGTGTTCACAAGTAACTTCATCATTCAACTTCATGATTGCTAATTCACAAGTAACTGTTGTTTAGTTTACTGTGTGACATGTGAACTGCTGCCTTGTGTTGTGTATTGCCTGGTTATTTTGTTGCACAATGATTGGAACAAACAATTAGCTCTCAAGAATCCACTCTCTCTCAGTAATCGAGTATGATTCCATGTGAAAGAACAAATTAATTTCAAGCAAAGTTTCAAAATAAAGCAAATCTAGGTTTATGATCTGCTTTGTCCATTCAAATTCTCATTGGATAAATATATATATTGACTTAGAGACCAACTAATCTTTGATTTAGTCATAGCATGTGTTCACTAGTTGGATAAAGTTGTCTTCTCCTTTCCGGTTGAAAAAAAAAAGCTTTATATTCGGCTCAGATGAAGGCAATGACATACATTTTGACATAAGCTTGATGTCTAGTTCTAATCAACCGGATTGTAATGAGGCAGCAACTATAATTTTTAGTGATTTTAAACTGTAATTTTAATGATTTGATGCAATTGCTTGCAGGAGGCAGCATTTTTTCTATCATATCAGATATCAAGTGCTTTAAAACTCAACTGCATTTTGATTGAATTTACTTTTTATTTCAGTTTTCACAGTTTTAAAACTCAACTGCATTTCGACTGTAACCATAAATTTCTTCATCATCTGTAACCATTGCTTCGGAATCCTCCTTTAGCACAAGTGGACGAATAATTGATCCATATCGTAGTTCTTTGAGTCCAAAAATGGTAGAGGCTTTGATATGTACACAAAATTGGCTTAGGTCAATTCATGTAGCATTACATCATGAGCCAACCATTGAGGAGATTGAGTTTTGTGAAGAAGTTGAGAAAGGTAATTTTACTTATTGCATTTGGTTTTATTAGACTATTTTAACTAGATGCTATGTTTCACGCTTGCTTTACATCATGTTCTTTTTTTATTATTATTTGTATGTAGAAATGGCAAGGGAAAGCTCAAAGAAATGTGCTATGTTGCCTCCTAGGCCGCCTATGCGTTGAGCTTGAAGACTTGGAAGATTTTATTTGTACAAGACATGAAGTGATGAAACCTTGAAGGTTTATTTGACTTGTGTGATGTTTAAATTTGGACTTTTTGAAGACTTAAACTTTGATGTTTAATTTGGACTTTTTGAAGACTTAAACTTGATTGATGATTGATTCTATTTCTAGTTGGACTTTAAATGTTTATTTTCATTTTTTGAAGACTTTTAGTTTTATGAGACTTTATGTTTTTAGATTAATTAGTAAGTAGTAACTTCCCTCATTAATATTGAAAAACCGTCCTAGAGAGATGGAAACATGTCATATTTTCTATTTCTATCTTATGTTGTGGTTGTTTTGCATTTTTTGGAGGAAAAAAAAACAAAAAAAAAAAAAAAAAAAAAAAAAAAACCGAAAAAAACCGAACCCGAACCGAAAAAACCGAACCGAAAAAAAAACCGAACCGAAAAAAACCGAAAAAAAATATGGGCCGAACCGAACCGAACCGAAATTTCGGTTTGGTTTCGGTTTTGGCAAAAAACCGAACCGAAAAGAACCGAACCCAGCCCTAATATTACCCTCTGATGGGGTTTATACAAATGTTTCCAAAATAAAAGGAAAATAAATTACATCATTCTGATGGGGTATTTATTCCTTGTTTTTTGCAGTGTCTCCATGTGCATCCCTTTTGCTTTCCTCTTTTCTGCTTTCCGAAATATTCTCCCAACAACATGATCTTTTTCTTTTCTGTTCCTTTCTTTGATCTCTCCACCTCCAGACACACTCACTTGCTTTTGCTTTTACTTTCCCTTTTCTTTCTCTTTTCCTTTTGCTTTGTCCGCCACTGCCTTTCTCTTTCAGCCTGGTTTCTGCTGTTTGAACACAAGATGGTGTACTCCAGCTGTAAAAACATGTAAATAACGTAAAGAACGTGGCATCCCACTCCATTTCTTTGTCTTCAGAACCCCACCTCAATGACCATTTGCTATCGTGGTCAAAGCATGTTCAGATTCACGTGTTCTGTTACTGGGCACTTCAGGTTTAAACTCCACGGGCAAACTCAAGTACTGGGCAAATTTCAGGTTCCCATGGATAATGATTTCTTATCTGAACAAGATCCATTGCAGCTAAAACCCGAAAAGATATTGATCTTTCCATTTCTCTTTTTCTTCTTGCTCTGAGACGGGGTTCTCAGCGAAGTACTCGGAGTTCCTGCCTGCTCTTTGGTTGCTTGTGCTTCTGACCACCTCTATTTTCTTCCTTTGAACCACCAACCAAATCAGTAGAAGGCCTCTCCTCCTCGGCAGACCCAACCCCAACCCCAGGCTCAGCGCTAGATTCCTGCTGCTTCGTTAACAGCTCAGCAAATGATGTCGCCGCGGAGGCTCCTCCGGCTCCGCATACCACTGACCTCCGGTCCCGGCCTCCTGGAGTGATGGGCTCGAATGGAAACCCGCTGATTTCTGATTGTTCTACGGTGGTCGAAGCAACTGCGGGTGTGCAGAGTAGTCATGGAGGCGGAGAGAGAAACATCCTCATGTCCGTGTTGTGTTCGCTGTCTGTATCGATATAATCAAACTGGACAGTTGCGGTGGTGTCGATATAATCAACGATCTCAAACTGGACAGAGTGTCGAGATGAGGGAGTGAAGAAACTGGGCAGCTGCCGGAACAGAGCCATGTGGCGAAGAAGGGTTGGACGCAGACGGAAGAGCAGACTTTAACGGTGGAGGTGAGCTCAGAGAAGCAGCAGTTGCCGACCGCAACGGCTATTTGAAAAATGGAAGCTCGGAGCTCGAGGCTAAAATGAAGGTTTTTGGAAGACGAAGTTGCATTTCCTTATCCGTAAATAATTGGACTTTTTCTGGTCGTAATTTCGATGGGGGATTATAGGTTTTGGATCCCGAGATCCATGAAATTATGGAGAAGAAGAGGCTAGGTTGGAGATAACCCAGCTTTTGGAGGTCGTTGGAGAGCCAGAATCCAGCACTAGCTCCGGCGACAGACAGAGCAATGAGCACCGCCATTTTTGGTCTCTTTCTGGGGAAGAAGAAGTCAATGCCTAATTGAGGAAGTTGTTGGGTTTGTGTTTATTACCGTAATGATGTTGTGATGGACGGCATAGATTGAAGTAGCAGAGAGGCTCATTGTGAAATAAACAACGATGAGTTGAGGTTTTCTTGAGTTGAGTGGTGTTTGGAGATTTGAAATGGATTTTGCAGAGATAGGGATGTGGGTCGCTTGCAGGGAGGTCGCTGAGGGGTGGGGTGAGGGATAGTGGGAAGGGATTTTGTAAATGGGACTTGCAGAGAGGAGAGGGGGAAGAAAGAGGATCTGGGTTCGGGTTTTTATGTTTGTTTTTTTTTTAATTGGGTTAATATTATAATATTTTTAATGTATAAAAAATTAATATTTTTACCACGTGGCAGCCACGTCAGCATTTAACAAATTAATGGACGGAAAATCTAACGGATGTATTATTTTGAAATAAAATGGTACATGATGTATGAAAGTGAAATGTTTTAAAGACGTTGTATGAGGTTGTAATAGATCTCAAACATAAGGGGCTACTATGTAATTTACCCTTTTCTTTAGTTTTTAATAATATTTTATTAATTTTTTAATAGAAAGTGGGTCTCGAATCAAGTCACGTTAGCATTTAACTAAGAAATTAACAGAAAAACTGACGGAGGTATGACATTGGCATAAATTCGTAAAATGAGGTATGACATTGTCATTTTAAAAAGATGAGGTATGAAAGTGTCATGAGACCAATAGTTAAGGTAGTTTTTTGTACTTTACCCAAAATATTTTCATCAAAATGTTTTCAGTTATTTAAAAGAACTTATGATGCGATGCGGTTCGCGTCATTTCGGGCCAGATGTTGACCCGCTCATTTCTTTATCTAAATATTTTTCGGGCCAGTCGTTTGTCTTTGCCTGTCTCATATCATGCTTTCTCCCTGTCTTTGTCTTTGTCCTTGTCCACACCTGCAGGACAAGGAGAAAGAGAGCAGTCAGTCGGAACCTGAAATCAAACCTCCAATTTGGAACTGACTGCCTGGAGCCTTCGCCTGGTTGCTTACTTAGCATTGCTCTCGAGTACTCATCCTCAACTGCTGTCAAGGTCACGAATTCCACCGGCAAATACCTCATGACAGTTGATCAGATATTGGCTCTTTACACTGAAGCTGCCAAGCGTGGATGAGTCACTATGAAGGAATGTTCTGAATGACCATTTAAATGCAAAGGTTGCACACCACTTCTGCCATGCAAAAGATTGAAGCAGAAGGTTCAACGGTGAGCTGAAACAGATCACTACAGCACGACACCTTTCCATACCACATTCATTATTCCGTCTACAGCAAAAGTATCCCATATCATCAAGGTCGAACGTACTCTAGATTTGATGGGACTTGTTTTGACCCTCAAATTTTTGAGTCGGCCTTATACTCTGAAGGGCACCAGAAAACCCTCCAGCACAGTTCAAGAATAAGCCTGTGGAAAGTTACTTCTTCAAAAGCAAAAGTATCTCATATCATCTCTTATCCATTTGCTTCTCCTTATCCTGGCAGTTGAATGAGAGACAAGGAGAAGGAGAACAATCAACCGGAAGCCGAAGTCAAACCTCTGATCCTGGGTTGCTTACTTGGAAGTTTGACTGCTTACCTTGTCTGTCACCTCTTTCGGCAGATCTCCTAGCTCAGCGACTTGGGGGACTCCTACTATAGGGTTTGTATCGCACTTGACCAAGCCCGAAACTACAAGTAAGCTTCAAAGTGAAATTGATACATTACCTTGTGCATCTTCATCAGCTAAATACACCATTCCCGGATGGAGGAAAGGTACTTCCAGAGAAGGGCAGATGAAAATCAGACCACACTTCGGTAGTTAGAAGTTTCGTGATTACTCAAGGGATTGGATCTTGCAAGTCCCCAACCGAGGAGTTTCCCTCACTCGGGAACTTAGGGGAGCACTGTTTGTACCATACTTGACCAATCCCGAAACTACCGAGCACCGGCCAACGCTATACTGTCAAGGACCCAGAAGAGTTCCCCTCCGACCAGGAGGCCAATCACTACTCGACACGTGTCAAGATTAGAAGCCAATCAGAGCGCAGCACGTGTCGACATCAAGAACCAATCATAACATGACACATGTCAATGTGACAAAGCTACAAGTTTTTCTATAAATAGGGGTCATTCCCCCACAATATTGGCTAATGCCATTTGTGTTAAATCATTCACAAGAACTTACTAAATTGAGAGCTTGATCCTTTGTACTTGTGTAAGCCCTTCACTACTAATAAGAACTCCTCTACTCCGTGGACGTAGCCAATCTGGGTGAACCACGTACATCATGTGTTTGCTTCTCTGTCTCTATTCATTTACGTACTTATCCTCACTAGTGACCGAAGCAACCAAGCGAAGGTCACAAAACCTGATACTTTCTGTTGTACCAAAGTCTTCGCTGATTTTGTGCATCAACATTTGGCGCCGTCTGTGGGAACGACACTTATTCCTACTCTCTTCAGCTGTGTCAAGCTGGTTTCTATCATTCGTACACTTTCTTTTGACCAGGCATCCCTCTCCAACATGGAAGCGAAGGAAGCCACAGCACACATAATGACACCCCCCTTGCACATAGTGCGAAGCAACGAAAGAAAGAAGGAAAACGAGTTCTTCTTCAAGCTAAAGTCGATGAGTTGGAAGCTCAGAACAACAAGATAGCAATGAGGAATGAGGTCCTCCAGGAGCAATATGAGAAGCTCTTCGAGACACTCCACGAAGCTAGGCAAGCTCAGACACGCGAGCTTGTTGCCCCCGTGGAAGTCAACCATCAACTGGGTGCCCTCCAACATGGAGGGTCACATGCATTCGACATAGATATCCCTGATAGGGAACAGATTACCCCTCGACTTGATAATCAACATGAGGCTTCTCTTAACCCAGTTGCTTCGACCCGAACCATGAGAAGTGGAGGGAGACACCTCTTTGCTGAAGGGGCAGAAGGATCGAAAGCCGTCTTTCGCGATTGTCGGGATTTCCTGAAGCAACGTCGAGAGAATTCCATCCATATAAGCTCAAAGATCAATGACCCAAGGATTTCTGAGAGACTCGGTCCCCTGCACGGCCCGAGCCGGCCACCAATTTTGGGGAAGGGGCAACAAGTCCTAGAGAGACATGAGGGTACAGGGGACTCAGAGGTGTTCCGACAGACATAC